TGACGACATCTTATTGGTAGACAAAGGCAGCGCCGACTCAGCGGCCGAGGCGCTGTCCAAAGTGGTGGACGCAGCGCTCCTCATCGACGAACCCGCAGGAAAGGCCCTCTCCGGGAGCCGCCCTCAGGAAAACGTCGTGTCCGTGGGACAGACGGCCTTCACGAACAGCAAGGGGCGCAGCTCAGACACGCTGCAGCCCGGTCAGAACTCCAACATGATGTTCTCAGGTCTCATGGAAGAGCTGCAGCTGAGCACCCTCATGGCCCTCATTCGAAGGGCCAACCTGGAAGCCATGCTCACTACGGAAGGTAAGGCTTGCAGTATTCCCATCATGCAATGATGAATAAGTAAATTAGAGAATTTCAGCCACTTTCTATAGTCTTGTGGCAAAAGAAAGTCTTTTAGCATAAATTAGAATGTGGTGTATGTACCATGCACTCTTAACGTGAAGTGTTTTAGAAGAGCAATAGCATTCAGGTGTGGATATTTTCCGAATGGCACCCAAACCCAAATGGAAATAAGAAAGCTTTGAGATATTGGCGATTCTCAGGCGATCGCTGCTTGGGATTCGCCCATATCTTGAAAGTAACTTGTGACAATAAGATTACAAGCTTCGACGCACAGTCATTACGCACTGAAACCACAGAAACCGATAACCACTGGAGACCGCATGAAAACCCCCAAAACCCACACCATGTGTTGTGATGACGTCAGGCAGGTTCTAGTAGTGTTGCAGAAGTTTATTTAGGTTAGATGCAGAGGCTGTGGAATTTCATGGAATGCGATGTCAGATCAGAGATATATTTTAATAATCTCAAGAAATCAGATTGTTTTCAAAATTGCAGTCATTCCTTCATTTATCTATGATTATCATTATTATCATCATCATAATCACTATCATCACTATAATCATCATTATTGTTATTATCGCCATTAATTATTATCATTATCATTATTATCATATTATAATCATCATCTTCATCATGATATAGGAAAAAAAGAAGCAATGAACTAAATGAACATAAAAGTACACTGATAAACAAGGAACAACGCACTACCCAGAAAAACTAAACGACAGAGAGAGTTCTACTGCTTGCTTGAAGACAGATACACCCCCCCCCCTCTGAACACCATACGTCAATCCCGACGTTACACTATCTCTGAGGATAATGTACTACGTCTCTTTAAGAGAAACCCACAAAAAAGAGAGAAAAAAGCACGAGTCACGAGTGTCATGATCTCTCGTTCACACCATGGACGGGTAACTCGCTTAAGCATGCGGGCGTCGATGCGATACTGTAAAGGTCATTTTGGAGTGTTGGTGCTTGGGACTGTCGACTTTATGGGAGTGCATTTCCGATATTTTATTAATAGTTGTTATAACGGTACTGCATGCACGTAGGATGGGGGGGGGGGGATTTGTGCGACATCACCGTACTATCATTTAAGAGTGTGTGTAAGTCTTTCTCTCTTTCACTCTGTCTCTTTTCCTCCGTATGTCTGTCTCTTCTCTCTCTCTCTTCCTTTGTATATCTCTCTCGCGCTCTCTCTCCCTCTATCCGTCTGCCTCTTCTCTCTCTCTGTCCCTCTATCCGGTTGTCTCTTCTTTCTCTCTCTCCCTCTCTTTCTCCTCACTCTCCCATCTCTTCCTTTCACTCAGTACCAGAAACAGCAGAAAAAAACAACAAATGTGTATTATGTTTTTTCTCGACTGGAAATTTGCTTCCAGTACATAATCGATAACAATTGTACAAATTCTTTAACCTTCACAAGATTTGGCTAACGAAAACATGTCTGAAAAACAAGTAAAAAATGAAAGCGTGTTCTGTTAATCACGAAAAACAAGCTCGTCCTGGTAGTCACGCACAAAAGCGCATCTTTTAGTCACGAAAATAATATTGTCCAATTAGTCACGAAACCAAGTTCGTCTTATCAGTCACGAAAAGGTCTGTCCAGTCAGTCACGAATAGAAACGTCCTATTAGTCACAAAAACAAATTCGGCCTTTAATTCCGTCCTATTAGTCACAATTAGCTTGTGCTATTAGTCAGGAAGATAAGCATGTCCTATTATTAATAACAAGCTTGTCCTGTTAGTAAAGAAACCAAGCTTGACTTGTAAGTCACGAAAATAAACTTATCCTCCAACTCACGAAACGAAGTTCGATCTGCTAGCCATGGATAAAAGCTTATCCTTTAACTTAAGAAAACAAGCCTATTATATAAGTCACGAATAAAATCTTGTTCTCTGACTTACGAAAACAAACCTATCCTATCAGTCACGAATAAAAACCTGTCCTCTGACTCACGCAAACAAAACTATCCTATTAGTCACGAAATCAAGTTCGTTTGTCAGTCACTCCCGCCGGCTGACCCATAAGATGGTGTCCCCGGTTTGTGTGTCGGACTGACTCGGTCTCGGCTTTTAGCAGAACTCATTACCCCCGTTTGCGCCGCCGAGGAAAACGTGTTCCTGGAATACTCTTGATAAGGCTTAATTGTGGGAAGATATTCTCTTAATGATCTTGCGAGCTGTTTGTTTGGTGATTTTGCAGAGTGATGTGTATGTATGTTCTAATGTTCTGGGTTACTTTTTTGATTAAATCACTGTAAGAGGATTTTTTTCTCTCTTTATAGAACAGAAACGTAAATTGTGTCAGAAGATTGGTTAACGTTTGAAACCAAGATGTATATCAGTTTACAGGTGAAATGAGCGCTAATCTGAAACGTTTAAATATAGATTAACTTTGATGAGATATTTTCTGTTTTACTGAAGATAATTTGTTTTTTCTCTACTCTTACATACTTCTATCAGTCTACATACCAATCTACCTAGCTATATGTATATATAAATGTGCGTGTGTGTATGTTTGTGTGTGTACCTGTGTGCGTTTGTGCGTATGCCTGTGTGTTTGTGCGTATGCCTGTGTGTGTTTGTGCGTATGTCTGTGTGCGTTTGTGCATGTGCCTGTGCGTGTGTGTTTTTATGTACGCAAATATCCACCATCACATCGGACCGAAGTAAATGAAAACCCTCAGTCTTACTTTATCAGCCTCATTCTTGGACACGAGATTCTTGCACATCATTAGTACAGAATCAGTGCGACCACGAACAAACGAAGGTCTAGTATTATCGCTTATTAGTACACAGGAAGTACTGTTTACTTTCACGTCCAACAGATGACGTGTTGCTTCATCCCGGCGGTTGGGAAAGAGTATCGACGATGGACTGAAAATATGGAAACGAACCAAAATGACTTAACAATGGATGGCGTCTAGATTTTTTCTTTCTTTTTTTGCTTTGTTTGTTTCGCTGTTCCCTTTTCTTTCGTTTCTTGAGCTCTGTGTTTCCTCTTTTTTTCTACTCTGTATTTCTCTATTTTTCCTTTTTTTCGTTTTAAATTGATTTTCACCTGTTTTTTTTTTTATTAATATATAGCTATTTCTCTTTCTTCCGCGCTTTCTTTCTTTCTTTTTTCCATTTTCTTTCGTTCTCTGTTTTTTTTTCTCTCTCTGTCCGCTTTCCTTTTCTTTCGATCTCTATCCCTATTCTCATCCTCTTTGTTACATTCTTTTTCCATCTTTCTTTCGCTCTGATTCTCTCTTTTACCTCTATTTTTCTTTTGCTGTTGTTTTTTCTCAATACTCCCTATTTTCCTTTTCTTCACTCGCTTTCTTTTTCCTTCGTTGTATTTCTATCCTTCCTTCCATTCGCTCCTTTACATTCTTTCTCCTTTACAGAGACGAAGAGAAGGAGGGAAAGAGGGAGGGAGGGAAAGGAAGACAGAGAGAGAGAGAGAGAGAGAGAGAGAGAGAGAGAGAGAGAGAGAGAGAGAGAGAGAGAGAGAGAGAGAGAGAGAGAGAGAGAGTGAGAGTGAGTGAGTGAGTGAGTGAGTGAGTGAGTGAGTGAGTGAGTGAGTGAGTGAGTGAGTGAGTGAGTGAGTGAGTGAGTGAGTGAGTGAGTGAGTGAGTGAGAGAGAAGGAGGGAGAGAGCGAGGGAGAAGGAAAAGAAAAAAAAGACGAGCAAGAGAAAGAGAGAAATAGAGACGGAGGCAACCATTCATACACACAAACGTACACATCGGAAAAGAGAGAGGCAGATCTTTAAAACCAAAACGAAGAAATCATAAACCATTTTCCACGACTCAAGACCAAAACCTCAAATTGTTAAACGTCTCAGTTGCTTCATTACCGCAGTACGTATTTCACGCGAGAATGGACGCTACGGCCTTCAGTGTGTAGGCCTATGATCGATTATGTAAAATTGTCGTTAAATGTTTTGGAAGGCATCACAAAGAGTTATAAAGTACAATCATTACGCAACGAGTAATAGTTGTAAATTTTCGATTGATTGTCCCGTTAATGTCGCAGATAATATTATATGGCACTTTTGTGTGGATGGAGAGATAAAACCATAAATCTGATCAATGCAAGAATTAAAAGCAACCTTAAGAGATGATGAATAGATGGATATAAAATCACATTATGAATGCAAGCTTTATAGAATTTCCGTTTCTTGCAGATATTTGCACATTTCCATACACAAAAACACAGCAAAGGGAAAAAACAAAAGCAAAGTAGTTGGGTTTGTTTATGAACTGTTCAACTTGAACCCTGTACATCAAATCACCTGTATATCAAACGTACCAAACTTTTAATTTCTTTCACTCTCCGTAAGTGAGAGATCGGAAAAATAGGTTAACCATTTCCCCCTCGCTCGTGGAAGTGAAACTAGAGGGAAAAACTACACGAGAGCACGCACTTTCCGGTGTTAATCTCACTGCAGTTGAATTAGCGTGTTTCATTTTGGCAGAGAAGCTCCTGTTGTAAGTGACTGCATTCAAGTTCAGAAAGATGGTCATTCGTAAAGTGGAAAACAGGTCATAAAGTTCCCTAATGGGTTTGAAAAGAGAGTTCCCTTAGCAATTTTCGCTGTTGAGGAAGATTACCGGAACAGTCCCATATAATATAAAAAATAATAACACTCTCGCCCTATGGGAAG